TCCCTTCATGGTCGCTCCGACGGGAGGGCGAGGGCTAGGGGACTTTTGTGAAACGACTTCTGTCTAAGCGGCGTTTCCCCTAAGGTCCCCGAGGGCCCTAGGGGCTCGACTACTTTTCTCTCATCGACTTGTTCGGAACAAGTCGCGCGAATCTGAGCTGATCCAGATGAATCGAGGTTCGTCCAGCCAGTTCGAGATACATCCTGAGACGCCTACGGAACTCCTGGGGAAGTCGTGGAGACTCCAGGGTGATTCGCGGGACAGCAGAAGTCGTCAGGGCGTTAACGAGGGGAAGACGAAGGAGGCTGGCGGGCGGGCGGGGGCCGTGGCTTCGTCTTCGAAGAGGGACCCCAAGGGGGGGGGAGGGGGCCTCGGAGGCGTTCGGAGGCTTGCAGAGGAGACATTTTCAGAGTCTTGCACACGAAACCTTGCTCGGAGGCGTTGCAGAGGCTTTCAGAAGGCGTTCAGAGGAGACCTTTTCAGAGGGTCTCCGACTTGGGAGGGCACACGAGGCCACACGAGGACCTGGCGCACAGGGCGTGGGGCGGATCGCAGTACTGTGCCGAGCGCCCCGCGTTCCCCCGTGGCGGTCCCCGCGGCGCTGCGCGAGGAAGGGGGGGCCCCAAGGAATCTCAACATGCAAGCAGGGCTCGTCCCCAAGCCCCCTCCCGCCCGCCTTTCCTCCCCCACCCCACTTCGTTGAGCGCGACGAGGGCCCCCTGCTCATTTCCCTTCGAATCGTGTGCATTTCGCCTCTGAGAGTGGCCTGTAGCTCGAGCTCTTCCAAAAACCATCAGGAGACCAAACATAGCAAGAATAGCCAGTCCTGCCCCACTGTCTTCTGTAGTACTATCCACCTGGTCGACCTGAGACCAAGATGGCGAGCGGGAAGCGTTGAAGAGGCGAGGAAGATGGAGGGAGCCGATGGGGCGACACCCGGCACGAGCATCAACTTTTGCAGGTCCGCGCGGATCCCTTGCGCCGCCGCTGTGCCCGCCCCCCCCCCCGCCGCGCCCAGGGGTGCCTCGGATGCAAGACGCCCTCCAGGGAGGGCCCCAGGCCTCCTGGCGTTGTGGAGGACGATCAACGGAGAGGAAGCATGTTGCCAAACAATTTCCAGATGTCTAAACATGTGTAAAACAACATGTTTGAAACATGTTTAGACCATTTGTTTCCGACATTTTGGGCACAGCTTAAATTCAATGATAGGACTGTTAGGGTGTCCATTGTCGTGGCATCCAATCCTTGCGTCGTGGCAAAGATGGCGACGGATGTTTTTTTCCGCCAGTTTCGGCAGCTGAGGGCCCTCGCTGGACTCCAGGGGAACGGAGGGTGCTTAGCCGTGGTGGAAAGTTCAGAGGAGGAAAATGTACCCACACTTCTCCCCTCCGCCCGCTTTCCCCTTTCTGGGCCTCCCGGGCAGCCCTCGTCACCACCGCTGGATTCGCCTCGAAATCCTGGTCAGAACGCACCCCTGGAGAGGTCCGGGGAGTAGCAGTATCGGTACATCTCGACCTCACCGAAAGTGGTCCTGAGGTGAGGGGGTCTGCGCGTTTTTGGCAGTGGTCGGCGCTTCTGGGGCCTCTTCCTGGGCCCGAGGGGCGTGGAACAAAGTCATGCAGGACGGAAAGCTGGTCCCAGGGAGAAAGCTGGGGCCTTACAAGGCCGAGCACCATCGCGGCGTGGTCTGTGTCAGGCCCCAGGGTCAGCAGGAGGCAGCCCATGCCGTGGCATCCACACGAGCGGCAGGGTCGAGAGCCCCTGGGGAGCTTCGAGAATGGAAGATGTACGGTCCATTCCGACCCGATCGATCGGGTCCAATATCGAGTCTAGCCGACTCGATCCGCCTCGCTTCCGACATCCTGAGGGCCCGATGCGGCCTGATGGTTCGGTGGTGCTGTCGTGCATCCTGGCGCAGTCAGATCCGACGCGTATGCCGATTCGACCCGATTTGCAGATTCGGTGCCGACTGCTACTGGAGCGTGCAATCTGTCACGCTGCGTCCTCCGTTGCAAGTCCGGTTCAAGCCAATCTGGCTGGCAAACCATTGCGTGCTCGAACAACCCACCTTCCCTTTTCTTTGCTCCGCAACTGCAGCCGTTTTTCTCCGTTTTTGGGATGGCAGCGCTGAGGGCTCTGAGCATCTTGCGGTTGCTGGCGCATGCCGTGTCCACCGCGATTTCGATCAGTGCAGGCTCCACTGCGACTGCGTCCGCGCCAACTCAGGCGCCGGCCCTGCCGTACTATCTGATCGGGACTGGCTCGTGCCTGAACGATGCTTGTGCCCACGGGGCACATCAGTATCTGTCCTTTCCTGACACGTCACCAGGGAGTTGTTACGCAGCGTGCGACGTACAAGCAGCAGCTCGAGGACAGAGCTTGGGTGGCTTTGACACGAGGCCTGGGTGCCTATGCTACTATGACAGTACTATCGTCAGCACCAAACACTCGAGTGTCGCTGGGTGCGAGAGTGTCAAAGACGATTGGAGTGATGGAGTTTGCTACGCTGTTGGGCAGGCGACGCCCAGCCCGACGGCGTCGCCTACGCCAGCACCGCCGCCTGCGCAGGCTGTTGGCGATCCCCACATGCAGAACATACACGGCGAGCGGTTCGATTTGATGGCGCCAGGCAGGCATGTTCTCATCAACATCCCTCGTGGAGAGCGCGTTGAACAAAAAACATTGCTTCGCCTGCAGGCCGACGCGCGCCGACTGGGTAGACAGTGCGCACAGATGTACTTCCAAGACTTGAACGTGACTGGGTCTTGGGCATATTCAAAACAAGCCCGAGGGTTCCATTACAGCGTGTCGCAGAGCGATGTCGAGGCTCCGAAGTGGATGGCATTTGGTAAGGTCGAGCTGAAGATCGTTCGCGGGCATACGGACAGCGGTGTGTCTTACTTGAACGTGTACGTAAAGCATTTAGGACGAGCGGGGGTTCCTGTCGGAGGTCTCCTGGGCGAAGACGACCACAGCGACGTGAGCACGCCCACGGCCGAGTGTATGGAGCAGATGAGCCTACAGCATAAGCCCGCTCACCAGCACAGCAGTGACTCCACGGTAGCCTCAACAGCAGAGGGAACGTTCGCCTAAAGTACATTCTTTTAGAGCGACTTACTTTTGCAACATACATTATTGCGTGGCACTCCATGGATGACCTACGCAGAGGCTCTTGCGTATAAGTTCAAATGAATCACAGTGTGCCAGAAACTATGCTTAAGGTAGGCTCGCGCCGCGCTGGCGCAGCGGTAGCACCATCGCGCGCGTTCAAGGTTGAATGCCGCCAGTGGCCCGGCATCGGCTGATGTCGAAGGATCTGTGCTCTCGGAAGCCCACGATCGTTCAAGATTGCACGACCCACGCGGAGCCAGAAACCAACGCGCGAGTCGTCACGACACGAATAGCCGTCGTCGACGCCGTCACGACACGAACCTGCTGTGGCCGCGCAAGGAATTGGCGCAGGGGGGTTGAGTCGGAACGTGGCACTGTACTGACGCCCCCGCGCTGCCCTATGTCGGTCCCCACAGCGTTGCACGAGGGAGGGGGGCAAGGAAGGGCACAATAGGAGCAGGGCTGCTCCCCGAGCCCACCCCTTCCCCTTTTTTAATTTACAAACACGTGTTTATTGTATTTTTTCCTCCCAGTGAGCGCGACGGGAGCCCCGCGACGAGGAAGAGGGGGGCGGGGGAGGAGGGAACCGAGGGGCGAAACACTGCGTGGGCGCAAACTTTCGGAGGTCCGCGCGAATCTCTTGGGCTCGGCGCTGTGCCCCCCCCTCCTGGCGCGCTTCGCACGCCAGGGGAGAGGGGTCTGGCGCCGACCCAAAGAGACCTCCGCGCGGACCTCCGGACGGATGGAGGGCCGAGTTTCTTGCTCCTTCTGCTCTTCGTCCTGCTCCTCGCTCCTCCTCCTCGATCCTCCTCCTCCTCGCACCGGGCGCACGCATGCGCAGCCTTTTCTGCTCTTGCAGAGAAATGAAGAGGAGTGCGGACGTTGATGCATGTGTGTGCCTTGCTTGGGAGAGCATGCGAATCGAAGGAACCATTTCGTGGCATGGAAAGGCACGTGTGCCCGCTGGTTCAAACAGAGCATGGGAACTCATGGGCCACGCAGCCAGATGGGTAACTCCCTGCGCGGAGCATCGCCGCGATCATTTGTTACGTTGGTTTTCAAAAAAGTTCGGTGCGGCAGCTCAGGGCGCGGAGCTGTATCGAAGTAGCGTTCGACCCACGAAACTCAGTGTTTAATAGCGTTGTCAACGAAGGCGGGCTGACCACGAAATGTCCCTTGGAACGGCTTTCCTCTCAGAGGCCTCCTGAGGGGTCCGAAAGGTGCCACACCAGCGCGGCATGACATCCATCATCAAGACGAAAGTCCTCCGATGATACGCGACCCAATACACATGCGGAGGGCCAACCTTCCATGGACCAGTGCTGAACTCCAGAGACCTCCAGGATCCGCGACGGGCAGGACCGCCCCCACAGCAGCCAAGGAGGACCTCGAGCACCCCCCCCCGCCGGCCTTCAACAGATTGAAGCGCCCTTTGCGGAAGTTTGAGCCGTTGTCGGTCAGCCTGGACCCTTGCTGGGCCCTGGCACCGCCAAAAGACGAGCCATGAGGAAGAGCCCTCCCTGACTTTGGATCCGCCGTACTTTGTCGGTTTCCCGATTCCATTTTGCGGTGGACCTTCAACCCGAAGGATGCGAACAAGCAGGGCGCAGATTTCCGCCTCAGGACGCGTCCTGCGGCTATCCCCGCAACCGTATGGCAGGAGCAGTGACGGCAAAGTGGGGCGGGCCTCGGCAACTCGGGAGCTTGGAACGTAGGGCTGAAACTTCGCCCTACTTGCGCCGGGGATCCCCGGGGATCCCCGGGGAACGGCCTGGGACTCCCAGGGTGGCGTGTCCGAAGTCAGGGGTCCCCCGGGGAACGGGCGGGGACTCCCAGGGATCCCGCACGGAAGAACACCCGAGACGTCAACCACAGTCACGAGTGGAGCCCCGGAGCCCATCTCCCTGCTGCATTGGTCGACTTTGATCGACCTGTGATGGCTCCGGGGCCCGAAGCTGGGCAGGACCGCCCGGTGTGAACAAAATTGCACCGCCCAGCTCTCGAGGCAACGAATGCCCCATCTCCGGGGAATCCGTAGCAATTCTGGCTCGAGGTCGTTTGGACCTGCTTTTCTTTGGGCGCGAGCTCGGCCCGTGCGCTGGATCCACGCGGCCGTCCGAAGAAGAGCCGCGCGCTGCATCAAGTAGGCATGACGATGTACGAGATGACTGACATGCAGTACCAGGCGGTGTACAACGTGCTGTCGTTCGCCCTGGCGAGCATGATGGCCACCACTGTGTACTTGTGGTTCCGGTCCTTTGCGGTGCAGGACAAGTATCGGAGTGCTGTCCTGATTTCTGGCCTGGTGACGTTCATCGCAGCTTACCATTACTTCCGAATCTTCAACTCTTGGGTGGAGGCTTACAGCTACCCCGCGGGCAAGCTCGTCGACGGTGCCATGGTCGTCGAGGGCCCGAAGCTGACGGGCGTGCCCTTCAACGATGCATACCGGTACATGGACTGGCTCCTGACGGTGCCGTTGCTGTTGATCGAGATCCTCCTGGTCATGAATCTCGACGCCGAGACCTACAGCGAGAAGGCCAAGGCGCTGGGCCTGTCCTCGGCCCTGATGATCGTGAGCGGCTACTACGGGGAGCTGACGGTGAGCGGCAACCTCGCCCCGCGCTGGATCTGCTGGTTCGTGTCCATGCTGTTCTTCGTGTACATCTGCAAGGAGCTGCTGATCGGCTTGGCCGCGGCCACCGAGAGCGAGAGCGACGCGGAGATCAAGGGCAAGATACGGCTGGCTCAGGTGATGACGGTGATCAGTTGGTGCACCTACCCGGTCGTCTACCTGTTCCCGATGTTCGGCATCACCGCCGCGCAAGCCGTCGTCGGCATCCAGATTGGCTACTGCGTATCAGACATCATCTCCAAGTGCGGCGTGGGCCTGGTGATCTACCAGATCACGTATGCCAAGTCGAGCAAGGGCGCGCTGCTGGGCTGACCTGGAGCTGGACGGCCCGTGGCTCGCGCTCGGGGGCCAGCTCGCCCTGGAGTTTTTTTTCGCGCGGCTTTCCGCTCAGGTCTTCCGACCAAGCATCGTGGCAGTTTTCTTGGTGAAGCCGCCGAGCCGTTTTTGGACGGCTTCCGTGAAGCCACCGAGCTGTTCTCGGCCGAGAGGGATTTGTAAAGCGACGTACGTGCCCTTCGACGCGGCTTTCCGCTCAGGTCTTCCGACCAAGCAGGGAGCAGGGAGCAGGGAGCAGGGAGGGAGGGAGGGAGGGAGGGAGGAGGGAGGAGGGAGGAGGGAGGAGGAGTAGTGGCAGAAGGAGGAGGAGGAGGACGAGTAGAGAAAGCAAGAGTATTAGGAGAGGGCAGGGCGTGACGAGTCTCTGGGGGGTTCAAGCAGCCAGCGGAAACGAACGGGGGAGGAAACGATCGAGGGTCGAGGCTCGAAATTTGAGGCTCAGGGTCTGTCTGTCGCCTGTTTTTTTGCCCTTGTGGGCCTCCGAGAATCGAGGCTCGAGGCTCGAGGCTGTTTTGCTCCATTCTGGGGCTCCAGAGGCCTCGAGAAGCATCCGGTGATTTTCGGTGGAGCTCCAGAGACCTCCAGGATCCGCGACGGGCAGGACCGCCCCCACATCAGCCAAGGAGGACCTCGAGCACCCCCCCCCGCCGGCCTTCAACAGATTGAAGCGCCCTTTGCGGAAGTTTGAGCCGTTGTCGGTCAGCCTGGACCCTTGCTGGGCCCTGGGACCGCCAAAAGACGAGCCATGAGGAAGAGCCCTCCCTGACTTCGGATCCGCCGTACTTTGTCGGTTTCCCGATTCCATTTTGCGGTGGACCTTCAACCCGAAGGATGCGAACAAGCAGGGCGCAGATTTCCGCCTCAGGACGCGTCCTGCGGCTATCCCCGCAACCGTATGGCAGGAGCAGTGACGGCAAAGGCGTAGATGTTTTTCGCCCGGGTTGGTTTTCGCCCGGTGCGTTTCGCCCGGTTCGTTTCGCCGGGGTTTGCTTTCGCCCGGTTGGCTTTCGCCCGGGTTGGTTTTCGCCCGGATTGGCTTTCGCCCGGGTTGGCTTTCGCCCGGGTTGGCTTTCGCCCGGTTGGCTTTCGCCCGGGGTGGCTTTCGCCGGGGTTGGCTTTCGCCCGGTTGGCTTTCGCCCGGTTGGCTTTCGCCTGGGTTGGCTTTCGCCTGGTTGGCTTTCGCCCGGGTTGGCTTTCGCCCGGTTGGCTTTCGCCCGGGTTGGCTTTCGCCCGGGCTCGTTTTCGCCTGGGTTCAACTTCGCCCTCCTCTTCATCTTCTCCTCTTCCCTCTACTGTTCTTTCATGCTGCTGCTGCTGCTGCTGCTCCTCTTACCGAACCCGACCCGACCCGACCCGCCCCGCCCGTTAGGGTCCGCCCGACCCGACCCGACCCGCCCGTTAGGGTTCACGCGTGCTCACTCGAGCGTGCCCCACACCTCAGCGTCCCGCCCGACCCGACCCGCCCATTAGGGTCCGCCCTGCCGGACCCGGCCCGCCCGTTAGGGTCCGCCCGACTCGACCCGACCCGCCCGTTAGGGTTCACGCGTGCTCACTCGTGCGCGCCCCACACTTTAGTGCCCCGCCCGCTTCACCCGACCCGCCCGTTAGGGTCCGCCCGACCCGACCCGACCCGCTTCGCCCGCCAGGGTCCGCCTGCCCCACCCGACCCGCCCGTCAGGGTTCACGCGTGCTCCCTCGAGCGCGCCTCCACACTTTAGTGTCCCGCCTGCCCGACCCGACCTGCCCGTTAGGGTCCGCCCGGCCCGAACCCGCCCCGCCCGTTAGGGTCCGCCCGACCCGACCCGACCCGCCCGTCAGGGTTCACGCGTGCTCACTCGAGCGCGCCCCACACTTTAGTGTCCCGCCCGCCCGACCCGACCCGCCCGTCAGGGTCCGCCCGACCCGAACCCGTCCCGCCCGTTAGGGTCCGCCCGACCCGACCCGACCCGCCCGTCAGGGTTCACGCGTGCTCACTCGAGCGCGCCCCACACTTTAGTGTCCCGCCCGCCCGACCCGACCCGCCCGTTAGGTCTGCCCGACCGACCCGACCCGCCCTGCCCGTTAGGGTCCGCCCGACCCGACCCGACCCGCCCGTCAGGGTTCACGCGTGCTCACTCGAGCGCGCCTCCACACTTTAGTGTCCCGCCTGCCCGACCCGACCCGCCCGTTAGGGTCCGCCCGACCCGAACCCGTCCCGCCCGTTAGGGTCCGCCCGACCCGAGCCGACCCGCCTGTTAGGGTTCACGCGTGCTCACTCGAGCGCGCCTAAACTTTAGTGTCCCGCCCGCCCGACCCGACCCGCCCGTTAGGGTCTGCCCGACCCGACCCGACCGCTTCGCCCGCCAGGGTCCGCCTGCCCCACCCGACCCGCCCGTCAGGGTTCACGCGTGCTCACTCGAGCGCGCCTCCACACTTTAGTGTCCCGCCTGCCCGACCCGACCCGCCCGTTAGGGTCCGCCCGACCCGAACCCGTCCCGCCCGTTAGGGTCCGCCCGACCCGACCCGACCCGCCCGTCAGGGTTCACGCGTGCTCACTCGAGCGCGCCCCACACTTTAGTGTCCCGCCCGCCCGACCCGACCCGCCCGATTGGGTCCGCCCGACCCGGCGCGACCCGCCCCGCCCGTTAGGATCCGCTCGCCCGACCCGGCCCGCGTGTGAGGGTCCGCTCGACCCGTCCCGCCCGTTAGGGTCCGCCCACCCGATCGGGCCCGCACGCTGGGGCTCACGCGTGCCCACTTGAGCGCGCCTCGCATTTTTTAGCGTCCCGTTCTGACGCATCTCAGACCCTCCTTGACATCTGGGACCTCCTTGACCCCCCCCCACGTCTCTGCGACCCTTTCGCCTACTCAAGCGGCGCGCCTCAAAGGCTCCCAGGGGTCAGCACGGCGGCGGCGACGGCCACGCCAGCGACGGCGGCGCCTACTTTTGCCCCTGAGCCTGCCCCGCCTGCTCCCCGCCCGGCCCCGGCGAAAGCCAACCCCGGCGAAAGCCAACCCCGGCGAAAGCCAACCCCGGCGAAAGCCAACCCGGCGAAAGCCAACCCCGGCGAAAGCCAACCCGGCGAAAGCCAACCCCGGCGAAAGCCAACCCCGGCGAAAGCCAACCCGGCGAAAGCCAACCCGGCGAAAGCCAGCCCCGGCGAAAGCCAACCCCCGGCGAAAGCCAACCCGGCGAAAGCCAACCCCGGCGAAAGCCAACCCCGGCGAAACGAAGCCCGGCGAAACGAAGCCCGGCGAAACGAAGCCCGGCGAAAGCCAACCCCGGCGAAAGCCATCCGTGCC